CAGATGAGGAAAACCACATCGTCCATTTGAGAGTGGTGCTCGAGTGCATGCGCACGAAAAAGCTGTAAATTCGGCGCGGAAGAAATTCCCTTTTAGGGTGCATATCGGAAAGCGTGGCCTTCAAGCGGATCCCGCTAAGATCAAGGCCAATGTGGACTGGCCGTTTCCAAATAACCAAAAAAAATTGCGCACGTTGCTTGGCCTCCTACTACTTGCACAAGTATAGCGCGAATCATGTGGAAATGACACGGCCATTGTAGAATCTCCTTGAGAAGGATAAAGAATGGTGTTGGGACATCGAGCATCGGAAGGCTTTTGACACGGTCAAAGACAGCCTCCTTCATGCACCAATACTGACATTGCCCGACCCCGATCGTCCTTTTAGTGTCGTCTGTGACGCTTCGGAATTTATCATCGGCTGTGCACTGCTGCAAGCAGACGCCGAGGGGCGAGATTGGGGATCGCATTCGAATCTCGCCAACTTAAGGCTGCGGAGAGGAAGTACCCAGCGCACGACAAGAAATTACTTGAGATGAAGTATGCACATGTCAAGTTCAGAATGCACCAGCTTGGCTCAAAGCCGTTAGTTATCTACACAGATTATGCGTCATTACGCACTGCGACTCAGTCGCCTCACCTCTGGCAGAGAATGGTCAAGTGACTCTCCTTCTTCGCGGAATATAAATGCGATGTGAAGTATAAGCCAGTAAATCAGAATGCTTTGGCTGATGCGTTGTCACGCAGACCGGATTATGAGCTTGCTCATATCACGACGGTGACGTCATCAGTGACGGATTTGATCCGCGCCGCATACGCGTATGTGTGTAGTTCTAATACAGGCTCTCGGCAGCAAAAAATGGAAACTCGGACAATAAATTGTCGGTGCGCTTGCGCACACGGCTACATCGATATTTGCTGAACAAAGAGTTGCTGTAGTATAGCATAAATTTGACGGATACGCCACGCATTGTGGTTTCTCACGATGAGGATTTAAAGAACCGCATCCTCAATGAGGCCCACGACACCCCACTCAGTGGTCATCTTGGTCGTGACAAGACCTACAGCTCTGTGAGTTGCCACTACTGGTGGTCCAAGCTGTACGAATGGAATTAACCTGTGTGCGCACATGTGAGACGTGTTGAAGGATGGAACCCTCTTCGAATGCGGCGGCACCACTGGCCAGTTTGCCGGTACCCTCCGGGTGCTAGCAGTCCATGAGTTTGGACTTTGTGTTTGGCCTGCCGAAGTACCCGGTGTGACACACGGGTGTGGTGTTCATTTTCGACCGT